TCATTTTTTTCTTCATCTCTGTCAACTGCACTAGTATCTGACCCATAAATTATTTTCTTCCCTTACCCCTTGATTAGTATGTAACCTCAATTGTTATTTAGTCTCGAATCAGTTCATGATTCTGCCATAGACCTATATTTTCAATATATAACTATATATACGAATGTACAGCTTAAGTAAATCATTTCGTCGAAAAGAAAATTTTCTTCGTTGAATTTTCTTTTTTCTTATTCAATGACATTATGGATTATTTTAATTATCTAAAACAAAATTGGTATACATTTGAAGAAAATCTGTATTGTGTTAACATTATATATATATATATATATATATATATATATATATATATATATATATATATATATATATATATATATATATATATATCAACGTTTAAGATCATCAGTCGAGGTTGTGGATGCGCACTGCTGAGGAGTCCCATAATAGGACGAAACGGTCGTCCAGTGCTTCCAGGTTTTCCATATTCGTCTAGCTTCAACTGACTCATGATCTTAACCATTGAAATTACTACAATCTCCACAAGGCCCCTTCTGATAATATATATTTTGGTTTCTTTTTCAAAACCTATATGAATCATTAGTTGATAGGTATTAGGTTTGAGTTCGAGTATAATCATGTAATTAGATTCAATTGGTAAGTCATTGCATAGAATGAAATGTACTCAATGAAGTTAAAGAAGGCGATAAAATGTTTAATAAAATAGATGTGTATTGTTTAACATTAAAAATTATTCATATTCACACATCATACCTTTTTTATTTTATTTACTTACTTGAATATATAAATATTGGTATAAAAGGGCACCAAATACATATGCGTCATATAAATCATTCGATTTTTTTGAAGGCTGGGATACTGCTCGGGTCCCCACCCCGAGCCTTTGGCCTAAAGGTCTAATCCACAAAGCAGTAGAGCAGCGTCAGAAGATGCAGTCCCATGGTAGCCAGTGACCAATAACTGGTTCATATGCCATTTGTTCTCTCAAGATCCTGGGGCTGATGTGCGCGATTGGTTTGGAATCAGGGTTTCCCAACTCCCTCCGTGTCCGCCAACTCGGTCAAAGAGCCGGACATTCGATTTTTGTCCTCTCAATTTCGTAAGCATCAGCTCCACCACGAGAAGGTAATGAGTAGGACTTCCCTGGCAGTGGTCGTATACGCGTGACCATGTGAGGGTATTTGGAGAGAGAGAGCTGACTCTCCCAACCCTCGGCCGTACCCGGGCATTCGGGGGCAAATCTTACCAATCTTGTAAGTTGTGTTAATCAACTAAATAGTACTGGAGAATTGATTTATCCTTAAAACTGGCTGTCAAAATCCATAATTTTATCATCGGTTGACTTTGGACTATTTACATATTGAGATAAATTATATATTTTAGGCATCAGTTATATAGTTTCTCCTGTAATTTGTGTTTTACTCCCTCTAATTGAGTTGGACATGCTCAGTGTAAGCTCAGAATATGGTATACACTTTTAGTTTACTTTATTTATTGTTTTATCAAATGATTTGAAGGCGTTCCCCATTATGAACTGACACCATTTTAAGAATCATTTAAAACGAATGAAAAATTTTTAGCCTTGAAAACCTTTGATTATTTGTAGAAGAAAGTACAATACCTTTAGTTTATTATTATTATTATTATTATTATTATTATTATTATTATTATTAGTAGTAGTAGTAGTAGTAGTAGTAGTAGTAGTAGTAGTAGTAGTACTCTTAGGGACAACAGTATATATAGAAAGTTAACCAAGAACTTAGCAGTCTACTTTCTTAACTTCAAACAATATACATTATAGCACAATGATTAGTCTGTTATGTCAAGAATCAGGTCAAAGAGTGGGATGCAAATAATGAAAAGTTTAAGTTCAATATTTATCAATCAAAATCAAGACTGACATGATAAGCTGTTAGTCACATTTGACTAAATTCGAACAATTTACTTCCACCTGAATTTTGTGCTATTCAATTCAGAAGAACAATGAAAACTTCATAAATAAAACAATCAGCTCAGAGAAAGAAACTATCCAAAAATCATACAGCTGATCTACAAATTTTCACTGTTTCAATGCTGAAATAAGGGTATATTCAGTCAATGAGATACTTATACGAAGAAATTCGCATAATAAATTCCTCTGTTAGCTATTAGAATAAACATACACTATCCTGTAGTTGGTTTTGTTTTCAGATATATCATGTGATATATAGTCAAATAGTTTTTTAAAATGTTTATCCAATTTTCCCAATTCTTTCCCATTTTGTTAACTTTTCTATTGAGAGTATTAACTAACATAAATATTGACTAATTAGGTATGAATATGTTTACTTTCAGAATGGTAGAGAGGAGAACAGAATAGTGTATCTTTGTTATTCTATTGTAAAATGATTATTTTTTTTTAAATGTTTATTATTTCAACTAGTAAAAAATAATAACCAACTATGGTTTATATTATCAATTTACAATCACTCCAATTTTATAAACAATTTTTTCATATCCTTCTACCCTACTATTTTCAATCATTTTCAATAGTTGAGACCGTGAGTCATTTGAAGTTAGAGCAACATGGAAAACCTGGAAGCATTGGAAGGCGGTTTCATTCTATTGTGGGGCTCTTCAGTTGTGCGCATCCACGACCCTGCCTCGCGAGATTCGAACCCACAACCTATCAGTCTCGCACGCGAGCACTTAACCACTAAACCATTGGGCTGGCATCAAGTACTTCCAGGTTTTCCATGGTGATCTAGCTTCAATGGACTCATGATCTCAACTACTGAAATTACTACAATCTTCACAAAACCCCTTCTGATGTTAATCATTTTAAAAAAATGATTTAACCAATCATATTTCATTTAAGATAGAAAAGAAAGCTAATAATTTATTTAATAATTACCTTTTTGATAACTATGAGTTGAGTAGATTACAAGACTGGACAAAACATCTCATTAAGTCAACTGATACAGAACAATGTATATCAATGACATCACTTGTGTTAAAAAATTACGGAGTGTGTGTGAGTTTTACGGTAATAACATTGTCCTTTTATCATGGGGTTAAAAAATATTACAGAAATAACCGAAGCTGAACATTTCTATATCCTATTTTGCCAATACTTCATCATGAAAGTACATTTTCCTTGTAATAGGCAATATATCTCTTTGTTTCATGTCACAGAAACGTCTAAACTAGTTTATTGTTCAACAACAATCAGTAAAATCGAACTTTTATGTTAATTATACTGAATAGGGTAGATTTTATTGGTAAAATTTAGTTGTCAAAACTGATTTCAAAGAAGAAAATTACTTTAGATAAGAACTTTCGCCTTAATTTGATCGAATAGTTTCATAGTATTTAGGCGCCGAGTTACTGTGAGACATCAAATAAGAAGAGTGTATTTGTAAAATCTCAGCAAAAGAATTTGAAGTAAATCCAAAGTTTTGTTTGGCAATCTAACCCAAGTTTTTTCAAGGAAATATAATTAAACATCAAAATTATCGAATATAAATAGGTACATGGTTCTCCGGTTTACTAATATACTGAATTAGTCATCCAATCATCGTTAAGAATGCTGAAAGTAGATATTTACATTACTGTGTAAGAGACATGTGATGTGAAACGAAAAGTGTTAAGATAACAGGTTGTGTGCATACGTAAGTGAGAAGAAATTTCACTCATTATATATTGTCTTTGGTCGGTGAATATTAAGAAAACATATAATTTATATATATGATATGAATCAAAAATGTCACAGCATGCATTAAATTAAGATAAATAAACAAGATAAAGGATTGAATTTGAAAGGGAAGAATGTATTTGCAATTGAAAGTTCGTGTTATTTTTAATGTTCTAGTCAATTGTTTGACATATTCAGATAAGATAACTGATTTGACTCGAACCCGGTACCATTCGCTCCAAACGCCATAGCGTTATCCACTTATCTACTGAGTCGTGACAGCCACCTGCTTATGCAATGGCAGTCTTAAAACCTCAATAGGATGATACAAGCAAAACAATACCAAGTGAATTTAAATTCGAGTTTGAAGCGAATAGTACTGGGTTCGAGTCCCAGAGTGAACATCAACTTCGGGATGCCGGCACATCCAGCTGACGAGTCCCAAATAAGACGAAACGTGTGTCCTGGATTCCACTACTAGCCACTATCCATCTTTGTTTATAAAAGCTTATGAATTAAGGCAATATCGAGACATACGCATAGTATGCACATATGCCAATAACAGACTGATCAATTGCAGTTTTAAAACCTCAATATGAAGATACAAGCAAAACAATACCAAGTGAGTTGAATGCAATATTTGATAATTAGTTAATACGATGTAGATAGAGTGGAATAAGGCTAACTTATTAAATATTAGTTGCCATGGAACTACTTGGATTAGCACATATATGTAGTGCTTCGGCTGTTAGTCTTTCTTTGTAAGAATTAAAACCTTTTCGAAGAATTCTTGTGCCAATTGTATGACCCGATTCTATCGAGTGTAATGCTATCGCTAATTTTCCTCGAGTTTTCTTACCTCAACTTAAGATTTAGTTTGTGTTCCTTCACCCTCACATTCAGTTGCCTTGATGTTTCACCTACATACGTTGCATTACAGTCACTACATTTGATTTTATAAACACAATTCTGTTGTTCTTTCTTGTGTATTGGATATTTGATTCTTACTAGTTTTGATCTTAGAGTATCGAAAGAATACATTAAAGAGTTAGAATCCTTCTAATTTCTTCTAAAATACCTTTACGAAATGGGATCCCAACTGTGTTAATTTATTCTTTCTGCTTAACTCTTTTTTTAATAATATCATTTTGTTCTTCATTCTTAATTATTCTTTTAATAAAATCCTTCAGATAATTATTCATCATTAGAGTGGATACAATTAAATTCATTTCCATCCTTATATCAAGTGGTTCAGTGACAAGTTTTTTTACTCTGGTGATCAAATTTTTGGCTACTGTCACTTTGGTAAAGTGTGGATACGCTAACTTAAAATCTAGAAATTTCTCTGAATATGTCGGCTTTCAGAAAATACTAATTTTTAAACAGTCATTATATTTCCTTTCAACTAAACAGTCTAGAAAAGGTAATTTGTGTTCAGGAGATTCCAACTTCTTAGTGAACTTGATTTTGTCATGAATGTTGTTGACACATTTAAATAGTTCGTCTAAACTATCTTGTTTTATAATGACAAAAGTTTCATCTACGTATCTTAACCAAATTTTCGGTGGAATGGAACACATCGAGATAGCATTTGTTTCCAATGAATGCATGAATACGTTAGCAACAATTGGAGTAACAGATGATCCCATAACTACACCTGTTGTTTGTCTGTACAAATCTCCTCAAAAAATAAAAAAAACAGTTGAATGCAAACATAAATCCAACGCTTTAATAATGTCTGAAGGATCTAGAGGACAACGTTGTTTAAGCTTTATTAACAGGAACATTAGTCAACAATGAGCAAACATCAAAACTTGCCATTATTTCATCCTCTTCTATGAGGATATTATTGATAATGTTTTTGATATCATTAGAATTTTTTATTCCACATTTGATTACGCTTTCATATTGTTTAAGAATTTCGGCCATGTATCTAGGTTGGTGAATTTATGTTGTCAACCACAGATCTTAATGGGATATCTGTTTTATGTATTTTCGGTAGCCCATAAAATCTACAAAGGTTATTGCTTTTCTTATATAAAGAAAACCATAACGATGGTCCTAGTTTGGATTTTAACTTGTATAGCATTTTGGCCGTTTCAGCTTTCAACTTATTTAGATAGAATATCAATCTATTGCAATAAAATCAGTATATTTTACATCACGTCAAATTATGGAAATGATAGGAACTTGATGGTCTTCTTATATTTCAACACTGTCCTATTCCAAACATTATGCTACTAATTTTGTTAAGTTGATAGAGAATAAACCATATGTGACACTGATTCTAGTATCATTCAATGGTAGCGTACTTTGGCTTACTATACAATTGAGGCAGCCCATGTGTTTGAGATGTGAATTTATTCCGTATTCTGTTGACAGATAATTACATTTCTTCAATACTTTTTTTCCACTCAATGTAACAAGTTTCAGTTAACCCCATTACATTCCTTTAAATACAATTAATCAAAAACCCCAGTGTATTATCTAAAATGCATTTGACTCAGTTCACACATTTGTCTTTTTCTATTATCAATAAAGCATAGCTTTTTCTTATGTTAATGATGATAATGATCTTATAATCTTATAAACTTGCTTAAAAATAAAATGTTTTATTGAAACTACCGGTCAAGTGTATGATGTGGCCTAGTTAATTATATTCGTATTAATCCTGACTGCTTTTATATGAGCGTATGTATGTGCACTTCTTATACGATTCATCATATGTCCGTAGCTTATTTTTGTGTGACTATAAAATATTGATTAATGCTTGATTAAATGGAGTTGAGTCACACACCTCCACCGCGCATCATTTCGCTTCACTGTCTTCTATTCTCTTTATCCCTCTGATTGTCTATCCAGATTAGCACGACGCGCAATGTTAACTGATGTTAGGGATAATTGAAAGAAAGTTAGGTGTGGCCAAACCAAAACGTGGCATCAGTGTTTGAAGTCAATAACTTCTGGTTTGAACCATGTTGGTAGATGCAGACCACCTGGTTGGGGTCCGCGTGACTATCGTAACCAATGGTTGGACACTCTGGGTGACATGGCTTAGAATCGATCACAATGGCGTCGGTGTATGCACTCTCTGTCTTCCTTTAAACTATGAGATTATAATCACTTCATATCTTTCTTTCTACCAACTAATTCTTTATTCCTGTACTATCTCCTTATATGCAATCTTTCTTTTATATATTACCACCACTGAATTAACTACTTCTATGAATTCGGTGTTCATCTTGTTGTGCTAATGCGGTATGGCAACTTGGACTGATGCATATATGTGCCTGGCCCTACGTTGAAGCTGACTGACTGACTGACCAGATCAGTGTGTGTGTGTGTACAAAATATATGTATACAAAAATCCATTCTCGTATTCAACTTATTTAATTCCGTTATTCACCCACGTGATTTAAGTCGATGATTACGTACGAGTATGGGAGACATGTGTACTTCGACGACAATCAGTATACGATCTAAATGGAGTCAGATATAGAGCTACTAAACTCTTTATCATGTTAAATGATGATAATGATCTTCTTTTCTAATTTCATAAATTTGTTAAGAAATAAACTGTTTTATTGAAACTGCCGGTCAAGTGTATGATGTAACAAAAAAAATAACATATATAAGTGAACAATATTGTTTTCGATTAGAGCCTCATCAGGCTTTACTCTAATATACAGTAATATTTATATGCATATACGAAATTATTAAACCAATCAAGACAGTATACGAGTTAATGATAACAGTAGAATAGATTACATAATTGAGTGAAAAGTACAAACTGGTAATGTGATGACAGATGTACTAGTTTGGATAAGAATAATAAAACCTTGAATCATTGTTATATAACGGGAATTAGGTCAATGATTAGAAAAATATAGACATTGGAATAACATTCATAGAAAGACTATAAGATTACGTAATAAAAATTAGGTCGTGAAACGTATTATGAGATAAGAAAAGGGTGAGAGGGTGTGAAGAAAAGTAAACAAAGAAAGACTTTGGAAAATAATGATAAATAATATCATTTATTAAGGCCAAGGGGGGAGATAAGGGAGTTAAAAAGTTTCTTGTGAACACAAAGACTTGAATTGTTGGCTCAAATTCTTATAGCTTCGACTATGTGTTAGAGACAAGATCGAACACCATAAAGAAAACTAGTTGGAATACAATAAGTAACTATGAATGCCTTATTTCTGTCTAGTGCATGATCGCTATCGATCAAGTGTGACAGAACCGAGCTGCTTATTGACTTGACAAAACCTTTACCTAACCACGAAGGGAAGTGTTCACTAACTCTTTGGTTCAGTTGTCTGGTAGTGCGCCCAACATTAAAATAAAAAAAATAAAAATAATTTTTATTTTAGGAATGAACTTTAGGGGCATTTCATGTTGTGATTCGAATGTCAATGTAGTTAGACTGTTTTTTTCTTCTTTTCAGTCATTTAATTTATATGTTTTCAATTTTCAATATATTATTATTATACTTATTATACTTATGGGTACCATTGACATATATATATATATATATATATATATATATATATATATATATGACCGGATAATGAATTATTGAAGTTGATTTATATATGAGATCAATTGTTTACAGATTATGTTCATATTTTATACAGATGTTACAAAATAAACGTCTCATAAAAAAATTAAATAACCAGAAACAAATGTATCAATCTAAGCAAAGATGGATGGCGGCTAGCACTGAAGTCCAGGGCACGCGTTTTGTCCTACTTGGGACTCGTCAACTGGATGTAACTGCATCGAAGAGTTCACTCCGGGATTCTAAACCAATAATGTCCACTTTAAACGCCATCGCATTATCTACTTAGCTACTGATTCCTCATAGCCACTTGCTTGTGCAATAAAGTAAAATTTTAAATTCACTTGGTATTGTTTTACTTGAATCTACCCATTAATGCTCTATCTTTGCTTATAATGATTGTGAATTAAGGCAATATCGAGACAATACACACAGTGTGCACATTTACCAATAAGAGACTGATCAATTACAGTGATAAAAATTAATGGGAAGATTCAAATAAACAATACCAAGTGAATTGAAAATGTATCAATCAATTATTTCACATTGAATGGTTAGTTTTATTCATTGGACTAGACAAAAAATGTCAAATGGAAAGTAGACTTTTAGTTATTATTTCAGTTTATTAAATATGCTTTAAAGGAGTCATCTGATTATTATTATTATTATTAAAGATTGAATATTTGCACTATAAATCACGATACTTTGATATCATAACCATATTTTATGATCCCACAATTCAATGATCCTTCACTTTTTTTGAAAAAACAAAGATAAGAAGGTGGTGTTTAGATAAGAAGTTCTTCTAACTACATAGTTATCATTGACCATGAAAAACATTGAAGCTTTTTAAAAATTTTAAATAAATGATTATGGTGAGACTATAATTTATGAATAAATCAATCAACACGGAGAAGAGCAATCCAATCACTCTTGATGGCGAAACTCTGGAAGACGTGGAATCCTTCACATACCTGGGAAGCATCGTCGATAAACAAGGAGGTTCAGATGCAGACGTCAAGGCGAGGATTGGCAAAGCTAGAGCGGCATTCCTTCAACTGAAGAACATATGGAACTCAAAACAACTTTCAACCAATATCAAAGTCAGAATCTTCAATACCAACGTCAAGACAGTCAGTTCTACTGTACGGAGCTGAAACTTGGAGAACTACAACAACCACCATCAAGAAGGTACAGGTATTTATTAATAGCTGTCTACGCATGATACTCAACATCCATTGGCCGGATACCATCAGCAACAGCCTTTTGTGGGAGAGAACCAACCAGCTTCCAGCTGAAGAGGAAATTAGGAAAAGACGATGGAAATGGATAGGACATACATTGAGGAAATCATCAAACTGCATTACGAGACAAGCGCTAACTTGGAATCCTGAAGGGAAGCGGAAAAGAGGAAGGCCAAAGAACACATTACGTCGGGAAATAGAAGCAGATATGAAAAAGATGAATAAGAACTGGAAAGAGCTTGAAAGTATTTCCCAGGACAGGGTTGGATGGAGAATGCTGGTGAGCGGCTTATGCTCCTTCACGAGGAGTAACAGGCGTAAGTAAGTAAGTAAGTATTTATCTAGAGAGATTCAGTTTAACGTCACTAAATATGTCATCGAATCATTTAGTGCTCTTCAAGTAACGAGCACTACAAATAAAATTATTCTAATGTATGTAATAAAACATTTTAACAATCTAAACAAAATATTCTAAGTGATATTTTAGTTATAAAAAAGCTCCAGATTAGTTACCAACGTAATATGAATAACTGAATAAATCTTACGGAATATCTACATCAACTGATGGGTGCAATTAGAAGATATGACATCTCTTATTAGTAATAATTGTGGAGCCTTTTATTTTGTCGTCATTTAGATCGGACGATGTTTGTCGAAGGGCTCTCCACTTTAGTGGCCCATGATCTGACTCCAAATAGATCGTATGAATGATTACTGTCGAAATGTATATGTCGCTTATTCTCGAATATAATTATCGACTTAAATCGCGTTAGTCAATAACGGAATTAAATAAGTTAAATAACGAGAATGGACTTTTGAATACATATATTTTGTATATGAAGCGAATAGAATAGAGAGAAGAGAAGCGATGAGCAGTGGAGATGGTGGGTCAACCAACTCCTCTTTAGTCAAGCGTTAACCAATATTTATAGTTACACAAAAATAAGTTACAGACATGTGATGAGTAATGGGATAAGAAGTGTGCACACATCTACGCGCTCATATAAAAACAGTTAAGATTGATAAGCAAATAATTAACAAGGTCAGAATGTAACTCAAGTAGGATGAATAGAATGAGCTGTCCGAAAGCCAG